TCATGTGTTAGCTAAATAAGCTCATCTGGATACATGTTAACTAGATTAGTTAAAAGTCAACAGATCACAAAATTTGTATTCAATAAACTGAAGTTGATGTTAAAAACACCATTGTTAAATAAAATGATTTGTAGAAGGAATTAAACCATACAACACCAGATTTCTGGATCTGAGTGAGGTTTATTGTCACCCAAGCTGACAGGAAACCAACACTGGCGAAAAACCAGGAAGTTCATGTATTTATACACCTTCTTCAGTGCCTGCSTTCGCCCCCTYCTGACCTACGGCTGAATCACAGGCATTCAGACAAAATTCTCAGCTAATGTCATCACAATGTTTGATTATGTGTTGTCATATAATTCGGACATGTAACTAATCTATATCAATCAAAACATAAAAGATTAAACATTGTCAACATTACAAAAGGGAAAACCTAAAAATATAGTGTTGTGCTTTTAATATCAGTACTAAACTCTAATAACTATAAATTTCTTCAATATGATGAAATTAGCTTAAAAGTTTTCTGAAACTAAACTGAGATTTGAGACATATCAACATTTGAACCTTTCACCAAGCACTGACAGCCAGGTTAAACCTGGTGTTCCTTCAAAAAGAAACCCTGAGCAGCAGCAAAGCCAGGAGTTTAAAAGTTGCACATGTGTGTAAAAAATGTAAAGAAAAAGCTGAAAAGGAAATGATCCATAAAGTCCACAGGAGACGGCTGGCAGAACTCATAGGAACAGTCAGTCCTGGAAGGATGTGAAGATTTGGCAGCTGGACTGAGATGTGAGAAGAGAAATATTTTTAGGACAAAATGAGTGGATTCAGACACGGGGCAGAGACAGCCTATTAGGAGATATAGAAGATTGGGAAAAGAGAAAAAGATGAAGGGACAGGAAGCTGTAGAGACAGACAAACATAGATTGATTGAGACAGGCTGGACACAGACAGCATCCAAAGAAGCTGGAGCACAGCTACATTCAAGGCCGTAGAGGAGAAACAAAACACAGAAAAGGCAGAACAACTGTGAGATGTGTAAATCGGAGCTGAAGTGTGGGTGTTTGCAGACAGTCTGTGACATGCCGGAAAGGCACAGGATGCCTTGGATCCTGATAAACAGGAGAGTTTGGACACAAACAAGATTCTGATCTGATTTCTGCCTTATTTGGTGCGTGTGTCGGCTGCAGAGATGAGCAACAGTGTGCAACGATCAAACCCATAAACCAGAGAAGGAAAGGAGTAATGTCAGCAAACATAAACACGGCTTCTTCTTTGGTGCCAAAAAGACCATGTTCAGCCCTCCCTCAGTGCAGATCAGTAAARTCTTTCCATCAGATATGTGCTGTCTCACCTGCAGTCTGATCAGTCTCTGCTACAGTTACAGCTCTGAGGACACATACAGAGAAAAGAATGGACTCACCTGCACAGMGGGGCTGGGGGGGACGGGGGACAGCATCCTGTTCGGAAGAGGGGAGCTGTGCCTAAAAAAGAAACAACTGCTAATATTAAATTAATTCTTATAGTACATGTTTATTGTCATCTTTTAAAATGAAAACACCAGGTTTTCTATTAGTAATGCAAATAGACTTATCCTGAAAACTTTGTGTGGTTTTTAAAACCAAACAGTTTGCTTCGAAGTCGTTTTAGCAGTCTGTCCYTATTGATCTAACAATTCAAGATGTCCTTACTTCAGTTTCTTTAAAGGGATCCACGATTAGTTGTAACATGAAACTTTATTTGATAAACATTTATTTTATCTGTAAAATAAAGACTGTATAAATACAGTAGGCTGTTTAGTTT